TCTGCGAATGCCCCAGCTATTTCTTCCTTTGCCTCTTGCAGTAATGTGGGATAGATCCCATCTAGTCCTGGGGTCTTGTCTACCTTAATGCAATTTAGGATTCCCAAAACTTCCTCCTTTAATATATTGACATTCTCTAGCGTATTCACACACTCAACCCTGACCTCAACATCAGTCAAGTCCTTCTCCTTGATGAACAGTGTTTTCGGGATCCTTAAGGGGGAGGGGGAGCAGCCCCAAGTCGTGGTCCACATAGGCACCAACGACATAGGTAGGAAAAGGGATGGGGACGTAAGGCAGAAATTCAAGGAGCTAGGGTGGAAGCTTAGAGCTAGAACAAACAGAGTTGTTATCTCTGGTTTGTTACCCGTGCCACGTGCTAGCGAGGCGAGGAATAGGGAGAGAGAGCAGTTGAACACGTGGCTACAGGGATGGTGCAGGAGGGAGGGATTCAGATACCTGGATAATTGGGGCTCATTCTGGGGTAGGTGGGACCTCTACAAACGGGATGGTCTACACCTGAACCAGAGGGATACCAATATCCTGGGGGGGAAATTTGCTAATGCTCTTCGGGAGGGTTTAAACTAATTCAACAGGGGGGTGGGAACCTGAATTGTAGCTCCAGTGTACAGGAGGTTGAGAGTAGTGAGGTCATAAATAAGGTTTCAAGGTCGCAGGAGTGTACCGGCAGGCAGGAAGGTGGTTTGAAATGTGTCTACTTCAATGCCAGGAGCATCCGGAATAAGGTGGGTGAACTTGCGGCATGGGTTGGTACCTGGGACTTCGATGTTGTGGCCATTTCGGAGACATAGATAGAGCAGGGACAGGAATGGTTGTTGCAGGTTCCGGGGTTTAGATGTTTCAGTAAGATCAGGGAAGGTGGTAAAAGAGGGGGAGGTGTGGCATTGTTAGTCAAGGACAGTATTACGGTGGCAGAAAGGACGTTTGATGACAACTCGTCTACTGAGGTAGTATGGGCTGAGGTTAGAACCAGGAAAGGAGAGGTCACCCTGTTGGGAGTTTTCTGTAGGCCTCCGAAAAGTTCCAGAGATGTAGAGGAAAAGATTGCAAAGATGATTCTGGATAGGAGCGAAAGTAACAGGGTAGTTGTTATGGGGGACTTTAACTTTCCAAATATTGACTGGAAACGCTATAGTTTGAGTACTTCAGATGGGTCAGTTTTTGTCCAATGTGTGCAGGAGGGTTTCCTGACACAGTATGTAGATAGGCCAACAAGAGGCGAGGCCACATTGGATTTGGTACTGGATAATGAACCAGGCCAGGTGTTAGATTTGGAGGTAGGAGAGCACTTTGGTGATAGTGACCACAATTCGGTTACGTTTACTTTAGTGATGGAAAGGGATCGGTATATAACGCAGGGCAAGAGTTATAGCTGGGGGAAAGGCAACTATGAGGCGATGAGGCAAGATTTAGGATGCATAGGATGGAGAAGGAAACTGCAAGGGCTGGGCACAACTGAAATGTGGAGCTTGTTCAAGGAACAGCTACTGCGTGTCCTTGAGAAGTATGTACCTGTCAGGCAGGGAGGAAGTGGTCGAGCGAGGGAACCGTGATTTACTAAAGAAGTTGAATCTCTTGTCAAGAGGAAGAAGGAGGCTTATGTAGAGATGAGGCGTGAAGGCTCAGTTAGGGCACTTGAGAGTTACAAGTTAGCCAGGAAGGACCTAAAGAGAGAGCTAAGAAGAGCCAGGAGGGGACATGAGAAGTCTTTAGCAGGTAGGATCAAGGAAAACCCTAAAGCTTTCTATAGGTATGTCAGGAATAAAAGAATGACTAGAGTAAGATTGGGGCCGGTCAAGGACAGTAGTGGGAAGTTGAGCATGGAGTCCGAAGAGATAGGAGAGGTGCTAAATGAATATTTTTCGTCAGTATTCACGCAGGAAAAAGACAATGTAGTCGAGGAGAATACTGAGATACAGTCTATTAGACTAGACGGGATTGAGGTTCATAAGGAGGAGGTGTTAGCAATTCTGGAAGGTGTGAAAATAGATAAGTCCCCTGGGCCGGATGGGATTTATCCTAGGATTCTCTGGGAAGCTAGAGAGGCGATTGCAGAGCCTTTGACTTTGATATTTATGTCGTCATTGTCTTCAGGAATAGTGCCAGAAGACTGGAGACTAGCAAATGTTGTCCCCTTGTTCAAGAAGGGGAGTAGAGACAACCCTGGTAATTATAGACCAGTGAGCCTTACTTCGGTTGTGGGTAAAGTGTTGGAAAGGATTATAAGAGATAGGATTTATAATCATCTAGAAAGGAATAATTTGATTAGGGATAGTCAACACGGTTTTGTGAAGGGTAGGTCGTGCCTCACAAACCTTATTGAGTTCTTCGAGAAGGTGACCAAACAGGTGGATGAGGGTAAAGCGGTTGATGTGGTGTATTTGGATTTCAGTAAAGCGTTTGATAAGGTTCCCCATGGTAGGCTATTGCAGAAAATACGGAGGCATGGGATTGAGGGTGATTTAGCGGTTTGGATCAGAAATTGGCTAGCTGTAAGAAGACAGAGGGTGGTGGTTGATGGGAAATGTTCACCCTGGAGTTCAGTTACTAGTGGTGTACCTCAAGGATCTGTTTTGGGGCCACTGCTGTTTGTCATTTTTATAAATGACCTGGATGAGGGCGTAGAAGGATGGGTTAGTAAATTTGCGGATGACACCAAAGTCGGTGGAGTTGTGGATAGTGCAGAAGGATGTTGTAGGTTACAGAGGGACATAGATTAGCTGCAGAGCTGGGCTGAGAGGTGGCAAATGGAGTTTAATGTGGAAAAGTGTGAGGTGATTCACTTTGGAAGGAGTAACAGGAATACAGAGTACTGGGCTAATGGTAAGATTCTTGGTAGTGTGGATGAGCAGAAAGATCTCGGTGTCCATGTGCATAGATCACTGAAAGTTGCCACCCAGGTTGATAGCGTTGTTAAGAAGGCGTACAGTATGTTAGGTTTTATTGGTAGAGGGATTGAGTTTCGGAGCCATGAGGTCATGTCGCAGCTGTACAAAACTCTGGTGCGGCCGCACTTGGAGTATTGCGTACAGTTCTGGTCACCGCATTATAGGAAGGATGTGGAAGCATTGGAAAAGGTGCAGAGGAGATTTACCAGGATGTTGCCTGGTATGGGGGGAAGGTCTTATGAGGAAAGGCTGAGGGTCTCGAAGCTGTTTTCGTTAGAGAGAAGAAGGTTAAGAGGTGACTTGATAGAGACATACAAGATGATCAGAGGATTAGATAGAGTGGACAGTGGGAGCCTTTTTCCTCGGATGGTGATGGCTAGCACGAGGGGACATAGCTTTAAATTGAGGGGTGATAGATATAGGACAGATGTCAGAGGTAGGTTCTTTAATCAGAGAGTAGTAAGGGTGTGGAATGCCCTGCCTGCAAAAATAGTAGACTCGCCCACTTTAAGGGCATTTAAATGGTCATTGGATAAACATATGGGTGATAATGGAATAGTTTAGGATAGATGGGCTTCAGATTGGTTTCACAGGTCGGCGCAACAGCGAGGGCCGAAGGGCCTGTACTGCGCTGTGATGTTCTATGTTCTATGTTGTATGTAACTGCTGTAGGTTGTCACAAACTTCATCTGGCACATTAATATACTTTTGGGAACCCAACCTGATCTGGGTTACATGTGATTCCAAATCCACATCAATGTGGTTCACTCCTAATTGCACTTTGGGGATTAGAGATGAGCAATAAATGTTGGCCTGCATATAAACTGACATTTTTCCAGCTACCTTCAGTTCTGAGGAAGGGTCACTGAACCCGAAATGTTAACTTTTCTTCACAGATGCTGCCAGCCCTGCTGAGCTTTTCCAGCAACTTTGATTTTGTTGGCCTCGCTAGTGATGCCTACACACAAGAGTAGATAAAAATAAAGTCTTCCACTGTGATTGTATTGTGTGTTTGATCACCTGTCCTTGAACATCTAGTCTACTCCACTTCTGCAGCTGCGAGGGGTGGAATGTTGCATTTGCAAAAGACATAAGCTACTTGACTTAAGCTGTGTGTAGTCTACAATGCTTGCAGAGAGGTCACATGACCAAGCCTGTAGCTGCATAATAAAGCTAGTAGAGTTTTAAACGTAGTCAGAGTCTGAGATTACTTGCTCAGGAACAACACCCTTTGCCCTCTCTTTGTTTCTCCGAAGTACCATTTATCAAAGTCTGAGAATTAAAACCCCACTGGATAGTCTCATCACCATAAGTTGTGGTTTCCAGGAATATACATTCAGCCAGATATAACTGGAAGACTCAATGCCAACAAACATGATCTCAGCAGTTGGCAAAATCTGTGAACATTTATTTTCTGAATTTAACTGGTACTTGGCAAAACTACTTTTAAGATAACACACTTCAAAGTTTACATTTCTTTTCTGCAGACTTGCAAGTTACATGTATTTGTATGCAGTCGTTTTCAAAAAGTATAGTTACTTGTATTTGAATTATTTAAAGCTTTTGTTAATATTCTTTACATTGAGTAAGTTTACTTTGCAGTAAACTGATTCCTGACCGGTTACTAAAGGAGCATCCTGACTTGTTTTTGATACAGAGCTGTTTACAATCTGACATCTGTATGTTTGGTAATATCGTTGCCTTTCATCAGTTCAAGCATTTTTTGTGACCAGTGAAGGAATGGAACAGGAAATGAATTGGTTCAACCCTCATAACCTTTTAGTAGAAAAAAAGTATTGTTTAAGGGTCACAATAGGAGCTATGCCTGTAGAACAGGATTGATGAGTCCCTTGTTTAGAGTGGTAAAGTAAATATAAATTTAAACATATACCAGCTAGCCTGCAGACATGCCCCTAGTATACATATTTGCACTACTACTCCCCACAGCTTTGAAATTTTGGCACCTTTTTCAAGGATTTATTCAACATGTTTTGAAATTGATCATTGAATCTACTGCCACCATCCTTTCAAGCAGTCGAAGACATTGATTACATTGTCGAAAATGTAAGTTTCTTTTAATTCCTAATGTAGGAAGGTTTTCAATAGACTCAACTTCTACATTCCCGATGACGTAGTTCGCAAGGTTGCCCAGTGTTCCCCAGGAGTTGTGGAGCTCGTGCTGAACACATTACGGCTGAAGATCGTGGAGAAGCTACAACAGAAAAAGAATAAGGTGGCTTCATCACCACAGGTATGGAGAAATTCTAGAGTGTTCTAAACAACTGTCAGGGATCTGTTTATTGGTGAATAGTGAATTGATAATGAATGAACAAAAAGACTTAGTTAGCTGACCCTTTTACTTCTTTAAGAGCTCTTCATCATGCTTTGAGTGATAGTTTACGTCTACATTCAGAATAGATTTTTAAGAACAAATTCAATAAATGCCATTTGACTCTGCTTTATGATTTTTTTCTACCTATTCAGTTTTATACCGCAACCCTGCATCATATGTCTCTCCTATATTCAACGAAATGCCCTATGGAGCTAATTAGCTGTACTTATTGAAAATCCTAAGCAATGCAAACATTTTGATTTGAGAATGGTGAGCTACCTAACTTCCCTTCCCACCCCCAAACAATTAGCTCACTTCTTAACATCTCACTTGCTGTAGGAACTGTTTTCGCAAAGTCTTCTGTGTTTCCATACTAGCAACCCAGGAACTTCAGTTTAAATTCCCCAGTAGCAAATTGTAAAATTGTCAGCTGACACTTGAAAAGTTCCATGAATTTTGCTGAATTGTTGTGAGAATACAACTGGCTCATTGCCACTCAGGGAGAGAAACCTACATGTGATTCTAGCCCCACCCCATGTGTTTGACTCTTAATCCCATGCAATTATGAATTGGGCTTGCTTGAACATTTATTTTTGGCAGTAAGCCTTACGACATCAAGTAGAACCTCATAAATGTGGATAAATCACTTCAATTTTAAAAGGAATGAGGAAAATATTCACCAACCAATCAATTATCTGTTTTTCTGGATGTCCCATTTTCATTTCTCACAGAATGCAGCCATTCCACTCTGGTCTGAACTGCATGAGAGAGTTCTTTAAGCTACTGCTGTCTCTGAATCTCCTGTCTCCCACTCTTTAAGGGGCCATTGTCTCAGGTCATCATCTCTTCTGGTCTTTTCAGTGCTACTGTCTCTGCATTTCCCCCCTCGGCTCTTTCCAATGCTGGTGTCTCTGGGTGCTTGCCCTTCCTGCTCTTTTTGTTGCTGTTATCTGTCTCTGCATTCTCCTTTCTCTTTTTTGTGCTGCTGTCTGTGCAGGAAGAGGTTTATGAGAATTTTTTTTATTCACTCGTAGGACATGGGCATCGCTGGCTGGGCCAGCATTTACTGCCCATCACTAGTTCCCTTGAGAAGGTGGTGGTGAGCTGCTTTCTTGAACCGCTGCAGTCCATGTGCTGTAGGTTGACCCATAATGCATTAGAGTGAATTCCAGGATTTTGACCTAGCGACTCTAAAGGAACAGCGATATGTTTCCTCATCAAGATAGTGAGTGACTTGGAAGGAAACCTACAGATGTCAGTACTGTATACCTCCACTGCCCCTGTTCCTCCAGGGACTGGCCTTCTTGGAGTTCCCAGCCATGCACTCAGATCCTGCGTGGACAGCTGGTGGGAGACATCTTTAACCCCTCCTTACTACACTCTGAAGACCCCATCTGCTTCAAGAAGACCACCGTCATCCTGGTGCCAATGAAAAATCATGCAGCATGCCTCAATGACTAGCGCCCATTGCCTCTGACCTCCTTGATTACCAAGTGCTTCGAAAGGTATGTTATGGCTCACATCAACTCCAGCCTATCAAATTGCCTTGATCCTTTGCAGTTCACCTACTGGCGTAACAGGTCCATAGCGGACTCCACCTCTCTGCCCCTACACTCATTCCTGGAACATCTGGATTATAAGGATACCTACTTCAGGCTCCTTCGTATCAACTACAGTTCTGCCTTTAACACCATAATTCCAAACAAACTCATCTCTAAACTCTGAGTCCTCTGTAACTGGATCCTCAACGTTCTGACCCATAGACTGCAATCAGTAAGAATAGGCGAAAACACCTCCTGCACCATAATCCTTAACACCACTGCCCCACAAGGCTGCATACTCAGCTCCCTATTATACTCCTTATACACTCACGACTGTGTGGCCAAATTCCACCCGAATTCCATTTACAAGTTTGTTGATGACAACTGTTGTGGGCCAGATCTCAAACAACAATGAGACAGAAATCAGGAAACAGATTGAGTACTTAGCGGCACGGTGTAGAGACAACAATTTCTCCATCAATGTCAGCAAAATGTAGGAGCTGGTCATTGACTTCAGGAAGCGGAGTGGAGGACACGCCCCTGTCTGCATCAATGGTGCTAAGGTGGTGATGGTCGAAAGTGTCAAACTCTTGGGAGCAATGATCACCAACAATCTGTCCTGGTTCACTCACAATGATGTGTCAGTCGAGAAAGCATAATAATGACTCTACTTCCTCAGGAGGTTAAGCAAATTCGCATGTCCACTAAGACTCTTAGTGATTTTTATATGTGCACCAGAGAAAGCATGCTATCTGAATGCATTTCAGAGTGATATGGCAACTGCTCTTCCCAAGACCTCAAGAAACTACAGAGAGTTGTGAACACAGCCCAGTCTGTCACGCAAACCAGCCTTCCATCCCTTGACTCCGTCTACACTTCTCGCTGCCTGGGGATTGCAACCAACATAATCAAAGATCCCTCCCATCCCTGTTATACTCTCTTCCAAGCTCTTCTATTGGGCAAAAGATATATAAGTTTGAATACACATGTGAAGAAGGTCGCAGGGGAAGAAATAGGCTCACTCAAGGACAAAGGAGGGAAGTTATGTGTGGACCCACAGGAAGTGGGAGAGATTGTTACTGAGTACTTTGTATCAGTATTCACCAAGGAGAAGGACTCACACTGCTGCATTTCCCCATCTGACTTCATCTCAATCCTGCCATCTCAGGAATCAGCTCTGTTTGATGGGGAAAATGCAGCTGTATGAGTCCATTTTTTTATTTATTCATTCACGGGACGAGGGCGTCGCTGGCCAAGCAGCATTTATTGCCCATCCCTAAATGTCCAGAGGGCAGTTAAGAGTCAACCACCTTGCTGTGGGTCTGGAGTCACATGTAGGCCAGACCAGGTAAGGATGGCAGTTTCCTTCCCTAAAGGACATTAGTGAACCAGATGGAGTTTTCCAACAATCAGCAATGGTTTCGTGGTCATTGTTAGATTCGTAATTCCAGATATTTTACTGAATTCAAATTCCACCATTTCCCGCAGTGGCGGGATTCAAACCCAGGTCCCCAGAACGTTATTTGGGTCTTTGGATTAACAGTCCGGCAACAACGTTCAGTAGCAGCAGTGTGTACAAGATGTAGAAATTCACCATGGCCCCTTACACAGCACCTTCCAAACCA